CAGAGCCCCCCTGGGCCAGGGATTTCTGGACGAGGACAAAAACGCTGCTACAGGAGCAGCAGGAAAGAGCCTTCTGCTGGATTCACATCTCACCAGATCATCACCTCCAATCCTGGGGTCAGGTTTGGGCCCCTCCCTCCCAGAAGGCCCTTGAGGGGCTGGAGCGTGGGCAGAGAAGGGCAACGGAGCTGCTGGGGAAGGGGCTAGAGCCCAAGTGTGGGGAGGAGCAGCTGAGGGAGCTGGGGGTGCTGAGCCTGGAGCAAAGGAGGCTCAGGGGAGACCTTCTGGCTCTGCACAGCTCCTGACAGGAGCCTGGAGCCAGGGGGGGGTCGGGCTCTGCTCCCAAGGGACAAGGGACAGGACAAGAGGAAAGGGCCTCAAGTTGCCCCAGGGGAGGTTGAGGTTGGATTTTGGGAACAATTTCTTGCCCTGGAGGGCTGTGGAGGCCTGTGCCAGGCTGCCCAGGGCAGTGGTGGACTCCCCACCCCTGGAGGGGTTTCCAAGCCGTGGAGATGTGGGGTGAGGGACACGGGGCAGTGGGGACCTGGCAGTGCTGGGGGAATGGTTGGACTCCATGACCTGAAAGGTCTCCTCCAACCCCAAGGACTCTGGTGGTGTGATGAGGAGGTGCTTGGCCCCAGGCTGCCCAGGGGACACCCCCCTGCCCCGGGGTGAGGTGGCTGCAGAGGCGCCGCCGGCCCCGCGCTCCCCACGCACCTGACTTGCGGTTGACCTGGTTCTGTGGGATGATGATCTGGCAGGAGTTGGCGTCGTTGGTGTTCTTGATGGGGTGGCTCAGGATGCAGATGACCCGGATCACCTGGCCCACCTTGGTGACACGGTCCGTGACGTAGCTGGGGTCACACACCAGCTGTTTGCAGCGAGCCACCTGCAGGGAGAGGGACCCGAGTGAGCACGGGCAGGGGCAGAGCTGGGGAACCAGGGGCTCTGGGGGGCACCCAGAGGAGCTGGAGGCAGCTCCTCCTGCACCAGGTTTCACTGCCAGCACGTCAATTCATCTTGAAAAAGCCAAATTTCAGCACGGTGGTCCTGAAGGACCTCACTTGGTGGGTGATTGATCACATCCTGCCCCATCATTTGGTGGGTGGTTAAGTTCTAACCACTGCTGAGGTGCCCCAGAGCAGGACCACAGCTCCTGACCCAGCCAGGCAGGAGTCAGCAGCTCACATCAGAACCCTCCTGTACAGCAACAGTTCAGGGTTTGACCAGTCTGAAGCCTCCAGGCCACCTGCACTTGGCCACATCAGTCTGTGGGGTGGATTATCACCCTGCTGCCAGCCCTGGCCCAGCAGGGACAGGTCCCTCCAGGCACTGCTCAAGTGTCTGTGGAGCTCCTGCTCCACCTCCACAGCTCCCAGGCAGCTCGCAGCACCCTCGCTGGCTTTGCATGGCCAAGGTGAGGAGAAGCTGTGGAAGGGCCACCTGCCCCTCTGCTCTGCCCTGGTGAGGCCACCTCGGGAGTGCTGGGGCCGTTTCTGGGCTCCCCAGTTCCAGAGAGACCAGGAGCTACTGGAGAGAGTCCAGTGGAGGCTGTGAAGCTGCTGAGGGGCTGGAGCATCTCTGTGCCAGGCCAGGCTGAGAGCCCTGGGGCTGCTGAGCTGGAGAAGAGAAGCCTCAGAGGGGATCTGAGCAGTGCTGAGCAAGAGCTAAAGGGCCCCGGGGGGCAAGAGGCTGGGGCCAGACTCTGCTCAGTGGTGCCCAGCCACAGGCCAAGGGGCAACGGGCACCAACTGGAACCCAGGAGGTGCCACCTGAGCAGGAGGAGAAACTTCTTTGGGGGGAGGGTGGCCGAGCCTGGAGCAGCTGCCCAGAGAGGCTGTGGAGTCTCCTGCTCTGGAGAGATCCCAAACGTGGCTGGTGTGACCCTGGGCACCCTGCTGGGGGTGAGCTGCTGGAGCAGGGGGTGGGATGAAGTGATCCTCAGGAGTCCCTTCCAACCCCTGCCAGTCACAATTCTGTGACTTCATCCCAACTCCTAGAACAGGACCACTGTAGGAGCAGGTCCCCTCCCCATGAAAACATCAACACATCTCAACAGCTTGGCACAGGGGCCCCAGCACTGGCCCTGCAGCTCTGGTCCCAGGGCTCTGCCAAGGCTTCTTCTGCTGCCCTTGTTCTGCTCCAGGAGGCACGGCCTCAGCTCTGGGAGGGGCTGTGGGGTGGGGCTGAGGGAAGCACTGGAAGGTTCCTACCTCTCCTTCAGACTTCACACCAACCACTTTGCCATTCTCTATCACGATCTCCTCAATGGGCTTGTTCAGCATGTAGGTGCCTCCATAGATAGCACTTAACCTGTGAGAGCAAAGCCCCTTCAGCACGTTCCACAGGCACCCCCTGGGTTCCCCACAGCCCCCCCAGACCCCCCATCCTGTCCCTCTTGGTCACTTTAGGCTTAAACCTCTTCAGAAGATGCCATCTAAAGATCTACACAGCAGCTGCTGTGCTCTCTGCAAGGCTGTTTGCAGCAAGTCACTGGTACAGTGACACCCAAAGGGCCTGCTGGGGGCCACCCAGAGGTGTGACAGTGGAGGAGCCGTGGGCTACACCCCCCAGCAGGTCCTGGGACAGACACCTGGCTGCACAGTGTCCCCAAGGAAACCCCAACCACCACCACAGCCAACAGGAATCGTGGTGAGGCAGCCCAGACAGAACCCACCTCACGTGGAGGGACCCATTCTCCACTAAGGACAGTGAGAGAAGCAGCAGCCACCGTGGCCACGCTCTGGAAGCTGCAGCAGGGACTCCACCCATCAGATCCCCCCCCGGGCAGGGCTGAGGAGCCCCTGGAGCCCCCCGTGCTCACCTGGCAAAGCCCTGGGGCAGCTCCCCCAGGCCGTAGAGCGGGTAGAGGTACGGGCTCTTGCCGTACCGGGCCAGCGACTCGCTGTACAGCTTGATCCTGTTGATTGTCTCCTGGCAGGGCTGATCTAGATAGCTGGGGGGAGAGGGCAGTGACTAATGGCACCCCTGCACAGCCCAGGCCTCCCAGCAGAAGGCACCCAGAGAGACAAATATCTCATCCCCAGGAGGTTTCCTTCCCCACCCTCCGGCTGCTCCTGGGAAGCCCTTCCCCGGGAGGGCCCTCTCAGGAGCACTGGGAGTCACACGGGGGTTGTGCAGGAAGGAGACACCTCATGAACCCCAGGAACACATGAGGCTCAAACGTCCCAGCCCCAGAGGACCCAGCACATCCAGCTTCCTGCAGCACCCAGGGACAGACACGCTTTGGGAGACATCACCCTCAGCTCAGAGACAGTGCTGGGAGCACCCAGCACCTCAGCTAGCTTGGGTGGCCAAGGAGGCCACCAGCATCCTGGCTTGGGCCAGCACTGGTGTGGCCAGCAGG